TCACACAAGAGACTAGGGTATGAGAAGTCATAGCCTTGGTATTAGAGATAGAAACAGGATAGAGCGTCGGCGGTGGGAGCTAGTGGACTGACAGTAGTGAAGAGCCCTACCAGATTACTCACTATTATAAAATGAGTGCCAGCTTCTTATGGTTGTTATGGTTACATCCAATGGTAAGCTAGGTGGGGCTAGCGAGGATAAAATTAAAGTCGAATGAGTCAGGATATGAGTTTGACCTTATTTTCGCAACTTGGTCATATTGGTAGGAAGACTTAGAGGAACGCACCGAATCCGGAGTCCATTGTATGTATGATAATATCCAGTCGAACCGTAGAGGTGGTACATTCCCAGACGTTTCGCCGGCATCGTCAGTGAGTCTTGCCATTCTTGGCACCATGCTAAAACCCGATCATATGATCAAACGTGTGGTATCTTTCCTTCTGTCATAGGCTTTTCGCTTCTCCTGTATCATCGTTGCACACCTTCAATATCACAATTTCTTACTTGCTTAATTAAATGTGGTATGGTGTGTCCTTTTGAGCGGCTTCTATGAGAACCCTCCAGACTCAACGCTGCCCATGTCATCCCTCTTCATCCTTGTGCTGAGAATGCAGATCAGGGTCTAATATATGGTTACGTAGACTCCTTCCATAGGTCTTATCAGCGTCTCCCTCTTGCCCCGAAGGATCCATCTGATATCTTCCTGCTTTAAGTATTTCACTCGACCCCTGCCACCCCATCTATGCAACTTGAGGTGTTATTACCCCTCCCCTGCGTCTGAGTGACTAATTCGAAGCTAAAGCCTCTGAGTAAGTATCATAATCAAGCCTTTGCTACATGGACCAGGTCTCTGGTAAAACCTACTGTCAGCCAGCTAGCCCCGACGCGTCTAGCCTGTTTCTATCCGTAATACCAAGTCAATGACTTCTATGCTCTTGTCTCTTGAATGCCAACGCACTCAAAGTTGCGAAAACAGGATCAAACAACTTCTACATATGAAAGGAGACTGCGATCACACAAAAGGCCACATAAGGTTGGTCGTTATAGCTTTGAATAATACGCAAATTTAATTCATCCATGCAATGAAAATGTTCCGAGTAAAAATTAAATGCCCTTAGAAGCGGGTTTCCTCGTTGTCGCAACTTGATCTTGTTGTTAGGGGGACTGAGTAGAAGGTACCTAGTCCGAAGTCGTCTGTCATAGTAGTTTTTATGATTCCCAGCATCAGACAGTGGACTTGGTACATTCTCAGACGTTTCGCCGGTATCGTAGTCGGCATCATCAGTGAGTTTTGCCATTCTCCACACCAAGTTACGAACTCATCAAAGACAAGTGAAGTCAATCCCTCGAAAAACGTTCTGCCAAATACTGAATACGAAAACACTATCACTCCTCTTTCTGTCCTGGCCTATATATCTACCCTTTACCTGACGAGTTCGTAGATTGGTGCGGAGAACGGCAAAACTCACTGATGATGCCGACTACGATGTACCAAGCCCACTGTATGACAGCTACTGTGGCAGACGACTTGGACTAGGTGCATTCTACTAAGTCACCCTGATAACAAGGCCAATCCAGTTCTATTAATCGAAAGAAGACTGCGACCATACCAGAGGCCACAACATCTTAATCATCATATCTTCAATTAAATGCTCTTAGTTTTACATTGGTCATAACATGAAATCAAACCAAAATATAGACTTGGTAAATAGCAGCTCATTAATATCAAAATTCCAAATTATGAATAGCCCCAATCAATCAAAAAGCAAACTCTAGGTGATATTGGATGGATCAAAATGATTTACCTTCATGCTGACTTTTAGGTAACCAGGCGAGATCTCCTCCAGCCGACATGTAGTCTGTGTTGACGTATCCGAGTTTGAAGGCCGTTCAAACAGCTTGTCACAAATAAACAAATTGGTCTCCCATGCAGTTAGTGAACTTAGACCCGAAGTAGATAGAGAAGTAGGCTCAAATCCTGCGGGGCGACCGGCACGGAAGGCGGCCGGACTGAGCACGAAGCAGGGACCAATTGGTGCCTCAGAAATAAAACTAGAGGTGTCAGCTACAGGGCGTCGCACAAAACTGTTCACGTGTAAGGGCAAGACGAGCTGCAGTGGCAACACAAGGCGACTGGCCTCGTCGTATACAAGCTCACGCGGCTGCCAGAGTATCTGATGTCGAAGAATATTCGGGGGAAGATCGTAGGGTCGAAGGAATGCGCCACCTTCGAGCCAAGTTAGACCACTGAAGTAGATATGATAAGATATTGGCAAGACTAAATTAAAATAAGCCATCGGTAAATATAAAAACAAAATTGAAAAGTGGAACGATATAGAAACCTAGGCATGGTAAATTTGACTAAATAAAGTATCATTTATAACAAGAAGGCTAGTATAAAAGGCACGAATATAATATAAATGAAGGGATATATGTAAAAAAAGGAAAAATGGATGCAGCAATTGCATTCGTATCAATAAGCAAAGTTATGAGTGATTAATTGATGCAAAAACTATTTATTCACTGCAGTTCGAGAGATAGCAAACTAATGATGCGAATTAGTTTAAAATGAATGTTAAAATATGCAAGGCATATAAAAAAACGAGATTGACAGCAAAATTATGTATGCAAGTAAGAAGATGCGTAGTTGTAGAATCGTTTATTAGTTTACATTAACAAGTAAACCAGGATCATAAAACTGGATCATTAAAGCGAAGCATACCCAACGACCGACGAAATAGGTGCTCCATCATTTAAAAGTTAAGTTATGGTTCATGGATTAAGTGTAACACCAAGGTTAAGTTCCTCTGAAAATCTCGGTCTAAATATAATTTTATCATCTAATTTGGAATTATTTTAAACCGATGGAATGTATTGTCGCTCAAAGGCTTTAAGAAATGAGAAAACTCAGAATGATAGGAATTAAGAAATGGGAGGAATGTTCATAGTTACATTAAATTTGCTTATGCTCGGCATTAAATCTTATGCATTTCAATGTTTTGCGTAAAAGTTCGACAATGTAAGCTTAAATATATGCTAGTAAATACAAAATTCAGAGAAGCAAGCCTACTAGTGGGCTAAAATTCAAGTAAATGCAAAAAGATCAATTAACAGTTTATAACAATAAGGCACAGAATGTGGTGAAATCATGTGCTAATTTATTGAGATATAAGGATCTCCTCCAAAGAATGAGTTTTTCACCTGGCGTCTTTCCATAGCCTGTAGACTCGAACCACTATCCTCTCTTCAGCAGACCAAATACGAGGATAATTCCACTTCTGACTGCTCTCTTTTGGTGATTGACCTGGCGATAAAGAATCTTCCGTAGCGGTAGCAAAGAGAGTGGAAGGTTGATTGTCACGAATTAAACTAAGACAACGATCAAGAAGCCGTCGCCCTGGAGTCAGAGTCCCAGAAGCATGCTGATCGTGTCGCGAAATGCAAACCTGGTCTTGCCAAAGAGACCGATGAACGTATACAAAGTCGTCGGTGCGTACCTGCATGCTGCCAACAACGCAAAACCGGCCAGTCGAAGAAGCGACTGCTTCAGCAGAATCACTTGATGTAAATGTTGATGGCAACCAACCAATTATATGATAAGTTAGGCTCCAAAACTCATGCTCCCCTGTCGCAGGACTAGGTTCGGCAAAAACAGCGGAGAGCCGGTTCATTGACATGGCTGCAGATAGTGATCTTGGGTAATCCTTGTGCACATAATCAGAAAAAATTCTATATGTAGTTGATGAAAAATAGCATATCTTTAGAAGAAAAATGAAGAGTAAAGCAGACAGCGAGTTGTAATATGGTGCTATGAATGGCGAGACTCACTGACAATGCCGGCGAAACGTCTGGAATTGTACCACGTCCACAGTCCTACTCTGGAAATGATGATGCATACAATGGACTTCAGACTAGGTGCGTTACTCTAAGTCTTCCTACCAATATAACCGAGTTCGAAAATAAGGTCAAATAACTTCTATACAAGGCGATGACTGATGCCTGTTGTGCTGCAGCCGTTTGACTTTAATACGAAGTACAGGTTGGTTAGTCCAGAAGACATCCTCCCTCTTTTCGGATGAAAACAGGCTGAGCCTTCTGTCATCATATTATGAACATAACAAGAGTTGGAATTCATTCTTGTAGTCTCACGTAAACACTACTTAAAGTAAAGATTATCTGACTTCATCTTACCTCTTATATGGACTCAACTAAGCAAAAGAAAATTAAAAGTCATCGATAAATATTGATTGGCTTGGCTAATTATCCTTCGCATTGGTCCTGCTACTTTTGTTCGAATTTGTATGCTAACGTCTATACGCAATATCAATCCTAAATCAATGAGCAAAAAAGGCCTTGGTCATCAACCCTGAATGAGCAAATAAAAAATCCTCATCCAAACTGCGTAAGCCCGTAATCAAGGCAATAAGATGTAAACTTGTAAGCGTGTAGGTCCGGTTACAAAACGACCTGTCCTAACATCTCTGGGTTGGGTTGATGGCAAAATCGAAGAAAATGTGAGGATTTATATGGACACTGTTTTTATCCCCCCTTTCCTCATTAGTTCGCCTATATTTTTAGAATTCAATCCTCTTTCCAATAAAAGTTCCACACTATCCTCTACAGTTCTTCTGGATAACTTAATTATCTTGTACTTCCCAAATTTGTTGAAAGCATTTCCTAATTTTGTTATGCCTTTTTTTAAAAAAGATAGGTTAACTAACGAGAAAGTGGGGGATAAAAACACTTCGATTATGCAGTCTTTTAAAGCGAAATATGACCCATATCGAGATCTCAAAATTTGTTATCATTCAAGGTGGAC